CGATCTCCTATTCATCAGTGCTACTTGGGCTGAGGAAATCCGAACACGAGCCGTCATTCTAGATGACCTCAGCTCCGCCGGCTTTGTCGTCAATATGGAGAAATCACAACTCGAGCCCTCGCAACGGCTCAAATTTCTTGGCCTCATGCTGGACACTCGCACCTCCTCCTTCTCTGTCGATGCTGACCGCCGAGGCCGGTTGTTTGAGGAACTCGACCATTTGTGCCGAATCAGCACGCAGGGCCGTCGTACCCCAGTTCGCCGAGTGGCTAGAGTGGCAGGCATGCTAGCCTCTATGGCGCTGGCACTTGGCACCATCGCTCGTGCCTTCTCCCGTCACCTGCTTTTTGAAATTAGTGCATGCCAAACTTGGGGGGAATCCATTTACTTGACACCAGAGTCAGTTGACGAGCTGAGATTTTGGCTGACTCAGTTCGACGTCTTCAATTGTTATTGTTTCCATAATCCGCACATTTATGACGTGGTCATGTATGTGGATGCAAGCAACCTATGACGACTGCATTGCACACTCCTCGGAGAGTCGTGTCACAATCATCTGCTTATGTGCAGTCAATCCTTTGCTAGGCTACTCTCTGCATTGTATTGAGTTTTCCTGTATCCATTGACATTTCAGGAGATAAAGCTTCTTGTGGCAGCAGACAAGTACGAAGTGTTGGAGCTGAAGGACAATTTGGAGTCACAGTTGTGCAAACTACTGGTCAACAAGTGTCGCCTAGATGCTCTGAGGGTAAGCTCTGAAAATCAAGATGCAAATACAGTACAAACCTACAGTACAATCCTTCTCCACCAAATCCACCAGCCTGGTGGCTGCAAGCAGAGGAGACTCTGTTTTTGTTGATAGAATGCTATTTTGTGTATTTCAAGGATGCTTCCGTGAGTTTGTGCCTCTTCGCTGTATCTTGCAGGATGTTTTGTTGGTGGATGACAAGGCTGAGAGAACAGTGGCAGTGAACATACTGGATAAAACATTGTTCACTGGTAGGTTAGGTGATGGGAAGTCATAAGTGTGATTAGACAACGTACTGTTGTGAGTTTACCGGCAACTTGATGAAATTTTCCCTAGTGAGGCTCACTAGTACCTTAAGTTCTTTCTAAATACCGGAAGTGTTTCAAAAGTTCGTCAGTGTTACAACCCAAGGGATGAACAAGAACTCATCGGTGTGCTCATACCGGAAAGGCAATCGCGCCATAGCGGAGAGGAAACGAGTGAAGGAGAACCGATCGAGCCCCTCAATCAAAGCCTAGGAGCCATGTGCGATGACGCGTTTGCGGTTCGAGCTTTCCCATATTCATGCAGGTTAGGAGGCGATATCGGCACGGCCCTGCGAAGCCCGCGTTTGCGAGCTCAGATAAGTTTTCCACCATCCTGTAAGTATACCGGTTTTAAGTGAAGTGTCGTGGCGGCATGACAATCTTGCTTTCTGTTGATCATACGTTAGGTACGACGAGGGTCGATGGAGCTCCCGTCCAGAATGGACAATCCGAAAGTTGGATGGTGGCGCAGCGTAACCAGGTGACGTAACGTTCTGAGTGAATCGTCTCTACTATTAATAATCGAGCTTGTTGGTTGAAGAATGGTTGTGTCTTTCCCTCCACATTCCGCGATGCCGATCTGTGATTTCTGCGAGGCATACAGGAAGAAGTCCAGAGAAATTTGTGGGTGTTGTGTACAGCGATATGAATCTCGAGAGCGTCAACTAGAGCGGTCCATTGCCCATTCTGAGCGGCAACTGGAACGTGCCGAGAGCGACGCGCGATACGAGTTAAATAGAGTCAAGAGGGAGGCAGAAGAAAAGGTGAAATCGCTGGAGTGTCTTCTAGAAGGGTCCAGAATTGAAGCGAGAGAATCAAAATCCAAACTGGGTCGCACGCATCTCTTTTTACTGAAGGTCAAGGGTATGCTTGATATGTCGTTTTGCGATGTTACTCTGGAGACAACTGACGGAGGGAATATCTCCGCTCATCGCTGTATTCTTGCTGCATGGTACGTAGACCAATGTGTGTTACCATTTTCTTCTTGCGGTACCATCGTGTTGTTATGTTAATGTTATGGTGGCAACAGGTGGCTCCTGTCTTTCCGAGTCTCTCACTGGAAGTGTGTGTTCTGATTGTTGACTACGCATCCCTAGTCGATGTGTTATGCTTAAAATCAATTCTGCTAAGCTGGTATGATTGTGTGTACTCTTGTCTGTGGTTACAGGTCTCCTGTCTTTGCCAAGATGTTCAGTGGTGACTTTCAAGAAGCTAAGAAAGACTCTGTTCTGATACACGATCTGGACTCCTCTACATTGGAGCAGCTTCTTGAATTCATGTACACTGGCGAGCTCCAAAAAGAAGATGCAACAATCGAGGTGAAGTGGAATGAACCCTTGTGATTTGTATTGCTAATTTCTGCTATGCTTGCAAGAAAACTTCTGACTTGCTCACTAGCATCGTGGTGCAGGAATTGAAACTCCTTGCTGCAGCTGACAAATACGAAGTTGTGGAACTCACTCGGATCCTTGACTCTCGTCTCTGCACATGTTTGACAGAAGACACAGCCTTCGAATTTTGGAAGGCAGCGAACTTGCATAATGCTCCGATGCTGAAAGAAACCTCCGCAAGTTACCTACTGAGTGGAGCAAATCGTGAAGCAGCTGTGAAAGTCTTGAAGGTGAGTTCCGTTGTTTCTAGAAAGGTGCTTGTAAATGTGCTAATCAAAATGCCAGCAGTGATAATTTTTGTGTGTTTTGCATATGCAGAGCATGATACTGGCAGATGACGTGTGTGAACGAGCTATGGCAGCAGAGTTGTTGGAAGAATGGTTCTGAAGAGTCATACCATAAGCTGGGAAAGTTTGGTTTGAAAGCTGGAATGCATGCGTGTGGGTGTGTGTGTGTGCGTGGTCGTGTGGGCGCATGCGCATGTGTGGTGAGAGTGAATGTGTGTGAATTATTTGGTTGTTTAGTTTCTTATGCTGAATGCATTTAGGATACCGTATTACCCCGGATATAAGCGCACCTGCGCTTATAATAAAACAGTGTTTTTTTGGGGGGGGTGCTTATAATTGAGTAAATATTATAAGCGCATGCGCTTATAATATAACAAATACAAATATATATTTCAATGCACCAAATTGTACATCTCATCCTTCAGATTTCAATCGAATCGAAATTGTAGAAAGTCACATGTCAAAATCGCGCGCGGGCGATTCTTCGCGAGCGCCCAGAGGCAAAATACAGTGTAACACCTCACTTTGAGGGCGTGCCAGCTCGTGCTGACTGGACGCGCAGGATGTGAGAGGTCTTCGAAAGTCAATGTAAGCGAAAATGGGTTGTGGCCTCGCTGCAAAACTGAGATTCGTTACCGTTTTAATGAAGAATTATAAATAAAATTACACATGCGCTTATAATATATCAGGGTTTTATAAGGGGTGCGCTTATAATTGAGGATCGGTCATAAGCGCATTGCTCCAGATACAAGCGCATGCGCTTTTCATAGGCCTGCGCTTATATCCGGGGCCATACGGTACATTCCGCTGTGGACACATGTCCCAATCGATGTGTCCCAATCGAGTGTACCGCTCCGAACCGAACTAAACCAGAGACGCGAAAATTTCGAAACTAGGGTGCAATTTGGTGTAATACGATGCAGTGCGGTAGAAACGATTGGGACACATCGATTGGGACATGTGTCCACAGCGGAATGTACCCTTAGTAGACCATGTCTACTCTTGTAGCAATTACTTATGTCTCATCCTGCAGGAATGGCCTGGAAGGGTTTCACTGAAGTTTCAAAGCAGGTTACAATCATGGATGCGCAGCTAACACTTGTTTGCATGACATGCAAACCAACATGCTTACGCATGAACATTATGAACTTCTCTGGCAAAAGAGGTGTGAAAAGCACTAAAGTAACAGCAACAACACAAAGACTACCAAGCCTTCCGCATGGGCTTTTCAAGCAGGCAGTGGAGAATGATGGTGCTGGCAGGCTTGCAATCATTGTAAAGTTTCTCAAAAGCACTGTAACAATAACACCTCTAGAATCACAAGTCTTTCCGCATGGGCTTCTCGAGAAGGCAGTGCAGAATGACAGTGCCAGCAGGTTTGCCAATCATAGCCTTGGGGGGGGTGACGCTCCAATGCAGGTGGCGGTACTTTAGAAGGTCCAGCACTGAGAGGTATGATGGCATTTCTGCTGCCGAGGCTGTGAATTCCTCAAACCACATCACACCACCTGATTGAAGGAGAAAGGATACAACATGGGTGAGGGAGGGAAAGAGATACAATGAAGAGAGACGGACAAGGCACGGAAGACGGGTAGGGGTAGGGGGGTGAGCCTCCAATGCAGCAGATCTAGGACTGAGAGGTGGGATGGCACATCTGCTGCCGAGGCTGTTGACTCCTCAAACCACATCACTCCACCTGGCGGGCAAGAGGGGAAAAACGAAAAGATGAAGTGCCAGTCAGGGGGTGTGAAAGAGGTGAGGCTCCAGTGCAGAATGACAGTGCCAGCAGGCTTGCCAATCATGGCCCTGCAGGGAGTGAGGCTCCAATGCAGGTGGCGGTACTTTAGAAGGTCCAGCACTGACAATTATGAGGGCATTTCTGCTGCCGAGGCAGTGAATTCCTCAAACCACATTTCTCCACCTGATTCAAGGGGGCGTGGAGAGGGACGGAAAAGAGGGGCATATCAAGGGAGATGGGCAAGGCACAGAAGATGGCATGGGGAAGGGAGGGGGGGTTGAGGCTCCAGTGGAGGTAACGGTACTTGAGCAGATTCAAGACCAATAGATCGAACTGCACACGGTGGCATGTGCAGGTTGCTGAAAGGCCAACTCACCGGCTTGTAGCACGCGGTCCCACTTGAACAGGACTTCTACAAACTCAGCAGGCGACGGCATGAACTTGATGGCGTTGGTGGCGTGTGGAATGTGTCTACGGTGTTGTCGTGCAAAGGTGACCACACAGACAGATATCTGACATGTGCCAACTCACCGACTCTCAGCACGCGATCCCACTCGAATAGAACCTCCTCAAATTCAGCAGGCGATGGCATAAACTTGATTGCGTTGGTGGCGTGAAGAATGTCCAAAGTGTTGTCGTAGAAGGGCAGGCGAACCTGATGGGATGGAAGAGAAATAAGTGGGGGTGGTGTGGGGGGGAAAGAAGCCGAAATGATGGCATTGGTGGCGTGAAGGATGTCCAAAGTGTTGTCGTAGAAGGGCAGGCGAACCTGATGGGATGGAAGAGAAATAAGTGGGGGTGGTGTGGGGGGGAAAGAAGCCGAAATGATGGCATTGGTGGCGTGAAGGATGTCCAAAGTGTTGTCGTAGAAGGGCAGGCGAACCTGATGGGATGGAAGAGAAATAAGTGGGGGTGGTGTGGGGGGGAAAGAAGCCGAAATGATGGCATTGGTGGCGTGAAGGATGTCCAAAGTGTTGTCGTAGAAGGGCAGGCGAACCTGATGGGATGGAAGAGAAATAAGTGGGGGTGGTGTGGGGGGGAAAGAAGCCGAAATGATGGCATTGGTGGCGTGAAGGATGTCCAAAGTGTTGTCGTAGAAGGGCAGGCGAACCTGATGGGATGGAAGAGAAATAAGTGGGGGTGGTGTGGGGGGGAAAGAAGCCGAAATGATGGCATTAGTGGCGTGAAGGATGTCCAAAGTGTTGTCGTAGAAGGGCAGGCGGACCTGATGGGAGTGAAACAAGTCAAGGGGGGGGAGAGGGTGAACTTGATGGCGTTGGTGGCGTGTACAATGTCTATAGTGTTGCCATAGAATGGAAGGCGCACCTGATGCAAGGGGGTGTGGGAGAGAGTGGGAAGGAAGGGAAAGAAACTTCTTGCGCTGCAAATGGAAACCCCTTCTTTCGCCCCACATTGGCCTCGAGATTCATCAACCTCCCACACCATGTGCAGTGTGCAGCAGACAGACCTGACCTGCCCGCCTTATAGGGCAGCCACAACAGGGAGTTTTTGAGAATTCTCAAAAACTCCCTGCAACGCCTTATAGGGCAGCCACAACGGCACTAGGCCCCTGAAAGCAAAGGTCTTTAAAAAAGATAACCCTTTTCTTCTGCCCCACGTTGGTCTCGAGGTTCATCTCTCTCCCACACCTGTCAACCAGGTTCGTCAAATGCAGCAGCCAACTCACCCACCTTACAGGGAAGCCAGATGGGAACAAGTCCCCTCAGGGCAGTGGTTTCCAGGAAGGGAAGACCCTTCTTGCGCCCCACATTCGCCCCGAGGTTCATCTCTCTCCCTCCCACACCATGCGCAGCAATTCATGCAACAGACACACCCACCTTACAGGGAAGCCAGATGTGAACGAGTCCCCTCAGGGCAATGGTCTCTAGAAACGGAAACCCCTTCTTGCGCCCCACATTCGCCCCGAGGTTCACAGGGCAGTCCCTTCTATTGCAACAGTCACACCCACCTTGTACAGAAGCCAGATGGGAACAAGTCCCCTGAGGGCAATGGTTTCCAGAAAGGGCAGACCCTTCTTGCGCCCCACGTTGGCTTGCAGTTCATCTCTCTCCCACACCTCGTGCCGTGTAGCATGCAGCATGCAGTGCAACAGACGCACCCACCCACCTTGTAGGGAAGCCAGATGGGAACAAGGCCCCTCAGGGCAATGGTTTCCAGAAAGGGAAGACCCTTCTTCCGCCCCACATTAGCTTCAAGATTCATTGCTGACGTCATCATGGTCACGTTGTGCCTCGCCATGTGCGCAGCGAACGAGCCTGACCCCCCGTTGAAATCAAGACCGATTCTGAAAGAGAGGGGTGATGGATGGGAGAGGCAGGCAAACGATTCTGACAGTAAGCGATAACCTCCTTGACAGTAAGCGCCCTTCCTCCTGCAGTCATCTCTCAACAATCACCTCGCCCTCCTTTCACTTTTGAGAATTCTCAAAAGTGATTTCAATACAGTAAGCGCCCCTCCTCCTGCAGTCATCTCTCAACAATCACCTCGCCCTCCTTTCACTTTTGAGAATTCTCAAAAGTGATTTCAATACAGTAAGCGCCCCTCCTCCTGCAGTCATCTCTCAACAATCACCTCGCCCGCCTTTCCTCACTACTCCCTGAGCTCACCTCAGCGCCCCCTTCTTGATCGCAATAACCTCCTTCACAGCAAGCGCCCCCCTGCTGCACTCATGCTCCAACACCCACCACTCATCACCCACCGTCCACTCCTTTCTCACCTCAACGCCCCCTTCTTGATCGCGATATCCTCCTTCACAGTAAGCGCCCCCCCCTGCTGCACTCATGCTCCAACACCCACCACTCATCACCCACCGTCCACTCCCTTTCTCACCTCAGCGCCCCCTTCTTGATCGCGATGACTTCCTTCACAGTAAGCGCTCCCCCAGCCGCTGTGTTCTTGGGCGGCTTAACTACCCACCTACTCGCCTCGACCTCCTCTCCTACTATCCTCTCCTCCTCATTCATGTTCGAACAAACCCCCATTCTCACCTCAGAGCTCCTCTCTTGATCGCAATGACTTCCTTCACAGTAAGCGCCCCTCCTGCCGCTGTGTTCTTGGGCGGCTTGACCATCCACCTCCTCTCCTCCGCACCCATGACTTGTCAACCACAAATTATTGCCTGCAAGCAATCATCTCAAACTTACCTCAGCGCCCCCTTCTTGATCGCAACAACCTCCTTCACAGTAAGAGCCCCCCCTGCTGCTGTGTTCTTGGGCGGCTTAGCCATCCACCTCTCACTGTCCACTCCCTTTCTCACCTCAGAGCTCCTTTCTTGATCGCGATAACCTCCTTCACAGTAAGCGCCCCTCCCCCTGCCGTGTTCTTGGGCGGCTTAGCCATCCACCTACTGTCCTCCACCTCCTCTCCTACTATCCTCTCCTCCTCATTCATGTTCCAACAAGGTGTTTTTGAGAATTCTCAAAAACACCCTACTCTCCTACTATCCTCTCCTCCTATCCTCTCCTCCTATCCTCTCCTCCTCATTCATGTTCCAACAAACCCCCCATTCTCACCTCAGCGCCCCCTTCTTGATCGCAATAACCTCCTTCACCGTAAGCGCTCCCCCAGCCGCTGTATTCTTGGGCGGCTTAGCCATCCACCTCCTCTCCCGTCCTCTCCTACTCACTCATGTTCCAAAACCCCCCATTCTCACCTCAGCGCCCCCTTCTTGATTGCAATAACCTCCTTCACCGTAAGAGCTCCTCCTGCTGCTGTGTTCTTGGGCGGCTTAACCATCCACCTCCTCTCCTCCGCACTCATGTTCCAACAACCGCCGCCGCCCGGCTGCCGCCCGCAGGCGTCCCCCGTGCCGGCCGTGGCAGTGGCGAGGGCGGAGGGGGAGAGGGCGTTGAGGGAGGCGAAGGAGGAGAAGGCGTGGTTGTTCCAACGGACAGATGAGTCTTGGAGGGTGGATTGAGCAAAGAGAGAGGCTGGTCTTGACAAGGGCTGCAGGAGGAGCGAGGAGGGAATTAAGGGGAGAAAAAAAGGAGAAAAAGGGGAGAAAACTGGAGACGGTGAGGCAGAATCGGTGTCTGCAGGCGTCCCCTGTGCCGGCCGTGGCGGAGGCAAGGGCGGAGGGGGGGAGGGCGTTGAGGGAGGCGAAGGAGGACAAGGCGTGGTTGTTCCAACGGACAGATGAGTCTTGAAGGGCTGACTGGGAGAAGAGGGACGTTGGTCTTGACAGGGGCTGTATGGAAGGAGTGGAGAAGCAGGCAGGGCAAACACAGTACGGAAGGTGCAGATGAGGAGGCAAGGAGGGGGGAAGAGAGCTGGGGGACACGGCGAAGGAGGAGCAGGTGTGGTTGTTCCAACGGACGGAAGAGTCTTGGAGGGCGGATTGTGTGACGAGAGAGGCTGGTCTTGACAGGGGCTGCAGGAGGGGTAGAGACGGAAGGGAAGCAGGGAACAGAGACAGGAGAAGGAGGTAGGGAGGGAGAGAGGGCATTGAGGGAGGTGAACGAGGAGAAGGCATGGTTGTTCCACTGCACTGAGGCGTCTTGGAGGGCCGACTGGGAGAAGAGAGAGGTGGGCCTTGACTGGGGCTGTTGGAGGGGGGAGCCAGGCAAGCAACAGGAGCAGACAGAGCAGAGGGAGGGAGGCGAAGGAGGAGAAGGCATGGTTGTTCCACCTCACTGATGAGTCTTGAAGGGCGGATTGAGAGAAGAGAGAAGCGGGCCTTGACAAGGGCTGCAGGAGGAACGAGGAGGGAATAAAGGGGAGAAAAAAAGGAGAAAAAGGGGAGAAAACTGGAGACGGTGAGGCAGAATCGGTGTCTGCAGGCGTCCCCTGTGCCGGCCGTGGCAGAGGCAAGGGCGGAGGGGGAGAGGGCGTTGAGGGAGGCAAAGGAGGAGAAGGCGTGGTTGTTCCACCTCACTGATGAGTCTTGAAGGGCTGACTGGGAGAAGAGGGACGTTGGTCTTGACAGGGGCTGTATGGAAGGAGTGGAGAAGCAGGCAGCGCAAACACAGTACGGAAGGTGCAGATGAGGAGGCAAGACTTTTGAGTCGACTCAAAACACAGTACGGAAGGTGCAGATGAGGAGGCAAGGAGGGGGGAAGAGAGCTGGGGGACACGGCGAAGGAGGAGATGGCGTGGTTGTTCCACCGGACTGAGGCGTCTTGGAGGGCGGACTGGGAGAAAAGAGCAGCTGGCCTTGAGAGGGGCTGCAAGATGGGCACGGGAGAGAGAGGGAGGGGGAAAGGGAGGGGGAGAGGGCGTTGAGGGAGGCGAAGGAAGAGAAGGCGTGGTTGATCCACCGCACTGAGGCGTCTTGCAGGGCGGACTGGGAGAAAAGGGACGTTGGCCTTGAGAGGGGCTGGAAGGAGGGTAGACAGAGTAGCAGCAAGGAGGGGGAGAGGGCGTTGAGGGAGAAGGTGAATGAGAAGCAGGCGTGGTTGTTCCACGGCACTGAGGTGTCTTGCAGGACTGACTGGGAGAAGAGAGCGGTAGGTCTTGACAAGGGCTGGGGTAGGAGCGGGGAAGGGAGGAAGCAGGCAGGGAAAACACAGTAC